CCCCTGACCCCGGCTCGCCCCCTGACCCCGGCTCACCTCCATCTCGTAGCCGTCCCTGCTCTGGCCGAGCAGCAGCTGCTCCTGCTTGGCCACCGAACACAGCCTGGTGATCTCCGCCGCCAGGTGACAGCTCAGCTCCTGAAACCAGAAAAACGTCGCCGTGTTTAAATTATGAGAAAATTATCCTAAAGGATAACCACCAGAGCAAAGCAGCTGCAGCTTCAGGATCTCGTCATGCTGATTGTGAAATCATCTCCAATTTCTGCTGCTGACTAAAGTAGAACTGCACAAGATGCTCAGCCTCAGTCGTTTTACATTATTACTTTATTCTCGTAATATTATGACTTTTTTCTTATATTATTGCAGTTATTCATATAATCTGACTATTCTCATGTGACGTTATTCTCATCATTTTAAAATAATCTTCTAGTCTGGCCCTAACATAATTTTGCCAGCAGATTATTTCTCCATCAGTCGGAGGTGGAGCGTCTCTGTGCTCCGTTTCTGAAAAGCTGCCCACCGCCGTTCCGACCTGAAGACGTCAGATTTTACCAGAGGATTCAGGAGGTTTTGTGCTTTTACGTTGCAGGCCTCAGTGAGCGGCTGAGTCCAGCGGGTCGTCACCTGGTTGCGGCTCCGCAGGGCCCGGTTCTCCTGCTGACACTGACCCAAGGCCTTCCTCTCGGCCTCCGCAGCCTGGACCAGGTGTCCGTTCTCCAGACACTTCAGGGAGAACTGCTGGGACAAAACGTCCAGCTCCCGCTGGCAGGAGGCCAGCTCCTCCCTGGAAACACACACCGATTAACGCTCAGGAAGTCATGAGAACGTTTCTGAACCCGACCAGCCCGGCTCATGTACCTGTGGATCTCCTCCAGCTGTGAGTTTCCGTTGCAGTTCTCTGATTGGCTCCTCCTCTGGATCTCCCTCTGCAGCTCGGCGCGGTGGGCCTTCCTGATGGCTTCGATCGCTGAGCAAACAGGAAGTGGAGGCGGGTCATTTTAGATCGGATTCTGTTGGTCGGACTCCAGTCCAGAGGAACTAAAGTTACCAATGTAACTTCGTTTCTACGAATCCCTCCTGACCAGCAGAGGGCAGTGCTGAGACACCAGCAACGTCACAAGGAATCCTGAGGCTCAGAGGATCATTTTCACCAACAGAGACAACAAATCCCTCCTGGACGAAAGACTCCAGGGGACAGACGCCAGGGGACAGACTCCAGGGGACAGACGCCAGGGGACAGACTCCAGGGGACAGACTCCAGGGGACAGACGCCAGGGGACAGACGCCAGGGGACAGACTCTGCAGCAGTGGGAACCACGGCCATCCTGGCCAATAATGAGCTACCAGCAACACCTGAGTTGGCCAAATCAGAGGAAAGGAGGGAAAGTGAACAGAAGGACCAAGAATGACCCAATGCAAGCAGAGCTACCCGACCAAACAGGTTCCAGATCCTGAGCACTAAGTCGCTGAAGAGACCACTCTCCTGAAGCAGGTGCCTGGCAGGAGGGAGTCTGGTTGTGTTGCCCTGGTAAGAACATCGTCCGCCGGGAGGACCGGTGAGGAGAAGCCCCTTCCAGGAGATCTCTGGACCGCTTCAGTGCTGACCTGGTGCCTCCTTGGCGGCTGATGTGGTAGATAACTGAGGTGTTGCCTGACCGGATTAGAACAAGTGTGTGTTTGGATCAGTGCTTTAGACACTGGTGTCCCTGAACCCATCCGTCATAACCTCGTCTCTGTGACACACAACCATCCGCATGGCGACGTTTCTGTCTGTCCATGGAGTCAGAGGACGAAGACCCGACCATGTCCCTCTGAGTTTGTGATGCCTGTGCAGCCTGACATCCTCTGCAAATGCGAGTGAGTGATGTCAGTTTGCCTTGCAGCTGCAGGAAGGCGATGTAAGGGCTGTCCAGCCTGAACTCACTGATCAACTGGAGTATGACGTTCAACCCTCTATGATGGGCAAGCCCTCATTGAAGGTGAATCCAAGGTAACCCTGATCATGTCGGGTTCCTCAAAACGACCAGATTAGGACACATCTTGTTTTGTGAGAGGCTTTCGCTCCAGATGGGGTGCAGAGAAGAGGTATAGAAGAACCTCTGCAGGTCTGCAGAGGAGAGGCCTGCTCCCACCCAGTCCTCTGATGGAGGGTCACACCACTGCTCCCATGAACAGGCAGTCAGGCGTCCAACAACGGTGAAACGATCCAAGATCCAAAAGGCTGAAGCCATGAAAAATGAACCGCACACGTAAAAACAACAAGGAACAGAGCCTCGGCTGAGTCAGGCCTCTGATTGGTCAGCAGATGGGCTGCAGGTGTGACTCTTGGTGTTACTATTGGAACAGCACATGTGCTGCCCTCTGGTGGTCAGTAGGGATAACAGCACTCACCGGTCGCAGTGGCAGCGCTCTCCTCCTCCAACAGTCTGTCTCTCTCCAGCAGGAGGCGCTCCACCTCCTGCTGGTGCTGGCGCTGCAGCTCCTCTACCACCCTCAGATGACAGGTCTCCATGGTGACGAGGCCACGCTCACAGGTGGCCTGCAACACACACACACACACGCGCACACACACACACACACACACGCGCACACACACACACACACACACTCCAGGTCAGTTCAAAATGGTTTCAGAGAAACCAGCTGACATAATCCAGTGATTACAGAAACCTGATCAGCTGATGATGTCACAGATTTTACAGGAAGTGAAGCTAAAACGTGCAGCAGTGGCGCCCCCTACCTTCAGCTGAGCGACCTCCCTCTGGTGCTGCTCCTGCACTCGCCTCAGCTCCTCCTGCAGCTCCTGCAGCGTCTCCCCTTCGGCTCGGAGGTCGGAGCTTTGCTGCGTCTCCTGCTGCCTCATCAGAGGAGCTTCATTCTGCTCCATGTGCAGCGTTTCCTCTGACCCCGCTGCTGTTGACCTCTGACCTCCATCAGTCTGGGAGCTGGTGCTCACCTGGGCACCCTCTGTGGCCCACGCGGCCTCCGGTCCGGTGTTCTGCTCCTGGTTGTCCTGCATGCGGCCGCTGCAGCTGGAACAGACTCTCCTCTGGTATCTGGACCGCAGCCTGCCGGGCCGAGCGCAGCAGAATGCGTCGGCCGCAGCAGGGAGCATCGATGCCAGGTGGGAAGCAGAGAGTCCGTCTGCGGCCGACTGCAGGCGTTCGCATGCGGCGCTGCGGCCGGAGGCGCCGAAGCGGTTCAGACACGATATTCTGCTCAGAGTGACGCCTCTCAGCTTCCTCAGCTCATTAGTAAATCTGTGGTTCTCTGAAGCTCTTCCCCACAGGAAGCTCTCCTCTTCCTCTTCCTCCTCTTCCTCAGGGTGCAGCAGCGCATGGCCGGCCTGCTGCAGCTGCTTCTCCAGCCGCTGCACCGCCGCACACAGCTGCTCTCCTATTGGCTGCTGCAGCCGGGTCGGGTCGCTCTTCATCTTGTTCAGGACGGATTTCCAGAAGTCTTCCTCCTCTTCCTCGCTGAGGTCCAAATCGTCGATGACCTCCAGCAGCTGCGCCAACCCCTGCAGCCTCATCACCGCTCCTGCTATCACATCCTGGATGTTTTCTTCAGCAGAAACAGCCTGGTTCTGGTTCTGGTTCTGGTCCGGTTTCTCCTCAGTGACTTCTTCAGCTGTTGCTTCCTTCAGCTCTGTGTTTTCCTGCTCTGGTTTCCTGTAGGTCCGCTCCAGCTGCAGTTCTGGTCCGTCTGGTTCTGCTGAGTGTTCGGGCCGCAGCAGAACCTCCGTCTGCCTCAGCTTCTCCTCCAGGGAGGCGGCCAGCGTCCGGGCCGCCAGCAGCTCCTGGTTCCGCCGGTCCAGCTGCGTCTCCAGCTCCTGGTTCTGGCGGAGCGGCTCGTTGTAGCAGCGGCCCAGCTCGGCCTTCAGCCGGTCGATCTCCCGGTCCGCCTCGGTCAGCTGGTTCAGCATCTCCTGGTTGCGCTGGTCCAGAGCTCGGTTCTGGCTGCTGAGCAGCGCCACCTCCTGGGACAGACTCTTCACTGCAGCGTGGCTGTCCGGGTCTCTCCCATCAGACTCCTGCTGGTTCTGCTGGTGGGAACCGCAGCTGGATCCTGGAACCGCTCCGTCGGCCTGAGGCGCCCCCTGCTGGCCGCCTGCTGCAGGTGCAGCCAAACTGCCCGTTTCTGCTGAATCTCCGTCTGGGAGGCGCATCCAGATGCCGGACAGACATGCAGCTGGCGAGGAGTCGCTGCGCTGCTGCCGCTCATTCAGTGGAGTCAAGCTCCCATCTGCAGGGTGGAAAACCGGGTCGGACGGAACCAGAAGGTCCAGCTGGAGAAAATCATGCGAAAGGAAAATTTCACATCAGCATTGCTGCATTTATTACATGTTCTTAATCTGCAGAAAAAGTAAAACTTTGATCCAATCTGGATGTAAATTATTCACTTCAGTTTAACTTTTCCACATTTATTCACATTAAATGATTCCTTGGTTGTCAGCAGAGATCAGCTCCACGCAGCTCGTAAAAACTTTACTGTCTAAAAATGAAACGCAATAAAAAAATGTTGTTCTTTTCATGAAAGAACAACATTCGTTATGTATTCATTTTAAAATTACTTTTTTTTCTGGGTAAATCAAACCAAACATGCTAGCACAGCGCTAGCGCTAGCTGGAGAAATGACTTGTGGTTTTTACCAAATCCTCCAACAGTTAGAATATCGTAGCTTTGAACCGTCAATTTTAGCTTCAATCGTGGATTAATTATATTTTTACTCTGTGAAATGAACTGAGTTCTGTGGTTGCAACATGACAGACAGCAGGAGGTTTTGCATCAACGTTAGCAAGGCGCTGCGTTCGCGGACCTGCTCCGGACAGAATCCGGCGGCTCTGAGACGATCTTCCAGCTGGAGTCTGCGACGCTCCGAATCCTCCAGCTGGGCCTTCAGGTCATCGACCTCCAGCAGCAGGAGGAGGAAGGAAGGAAAGAAGAGTCAGACAGCAGGAATAAAGTCCCAATGAAATCTGCAGATCCAAACTAATCCACAGAGAGGAAAACTGACAGAATCTCACCAAGTATCCCTGACCAAGTTCCTACTGTAAAAAACTCCTGAAATAAGATGAAACTGACTTAAAAGCAATTTATCACCAAGAAGTGGGAACCCTTTTTAATTCAATAATTCCTAAATATTAATGAAAACAAACTAGTTCCACATTTCCCATAACATGGAACAAATAAATGAAATAATCTGCCAGTAGATTTAAAACTTTTTATCAATATTACAAAATTATTGACTTAGAACAAGCTCCTGTATCTGCCAGAAAAGTTATTTTAGTTTTGTTTTATTTCAAGTCTTATAAGATATCTGGCTGCAGCCCTGCAGCACCTGCAGTGCTGCAGCTGCATCCCTCACCAGCGTCCTGCAGCCCTGCAGCAGCGTCTCCTTCTCCAGAGCGTCTCTGGACTCGGCGGGCAGCGCCACCGTCCTCTCTGCTCTCAGCACCGTCCTCTCCACCTGCCTCCAGCACTCTGCGATCCGCTCCTCCATCTTCAGCTGGGACCGGGGGCTCAGAGGTCGCGTGGCCCCGCCCTCGCCGCCCCGCGGCCCGCCCCGCGGCCCGCCCCGACCCAGAGAGAAGCCCAGCAGGCTCTCGTAGCGCCGCCTCCTCTCCTGCCGCCGCCTGCGCCTCTCCAGGTCGCCCAGCTCCAGGTAGGACGCCGCTCGGTCACCGAGGCGACCGCCGTCCAGCTGGGCTTCGGCGCCAGCCCTGGACTGGTCCGAATCGCTGCTGGAGGCGGGGCCGGGGGGCGTGGGGGCGGAGTCATGCATCACGTCCGGTCTGACCTCAGCTGGGCTGCAGGTGAGGCGGCGGCCAGGTGAGCTGGGAACACAGAGGAGAACCGAACTGAACACCCGAAACAAACTAAAGCATCAGCAGAGACGAGCAGCATCCGGACGACCACTGATCATGTCGGGTTCCCCAAAACGAGCAGAACCAGAACCAGAGAGATTCTGGCCCAGTTCCTCCATGGTTTTCCATGAGACACTGATCTGATCCACCATAAAGGTTTTTGTTCTGATCTGAACATCCACACAGGGTGAGTGAGAAAATTATTATTAAAACACTAAACTAACCTAAGAGGAAGAAAAACATGGGAGAGAGGACTGGACCTCTGGCTCCAGAACCAGAGTCCAACTTCCAGGATTGTTTAAAATTTCCTTTCTGCTCATTTTTTAACCTGCGGCTGATATGAAGCAGAAGCTCAGCTGGTTCTGCTGCGTTACGGAGAACCGACTGTTTGGACCTTAAGTCTCCTCCTGCCGTCGTTTCTCTGATAAAACTGGATTTCTATCTCTGGATCTGTAACCACCAGAGTAAAGGCCCAGAGCTCACCTGGCCACGTCGGGCGCGTCGGCCGGGTTGACGTTCTTCATCAGCGCTTGGATCCAGTTCTTGCGTATTCCAGCCGTCATGGCGGACAGCGTGAAGACGGCCTTCTGGGTCTGAAACATCCAGAGGAAATGGTTTCTGTCTGCAGCAGCAGCAGGTCCAGCTGCAGAGGCTCAGAGTCTTACGTGGATCTGGAAGCCGTAGTTTCTCTGGACCTGATGCTCAGACACGCTGTAGCACTTCGACAGGTCGATTTCTCCTTCCAGGTCCGAAGCCTGGAACCAGAACAGAGTTTAACCTGACATGTCATGAACTGCTGCAGGTTTCTGCTCTGATCAACGAACCTCCTCAGCTGAAGCGTCCCTGTAGAATCTCAGGCTGGCCGTCGACAGAACAAACCAATGTTTCTTCCACTAGGGGGCAGCAAAGAGGAGCAGGAAGCTCCATCAATCAATCAATCAATCAATCAATCAAATTTTATTTGTATAGCACATTTCAGCAGCAAGGCATTTCAAAGTGCTTCACATAATTAAAATAAAAACAGCATGTGACAATGAATAAACAATGAGAAAGAGAAATAAAAAGAAATTAAAGTAAATATAAAGAGATTTAAAAAAAAATAAAAAATTAAATAAAATAAAAATAAAAACATTATCCACATGAGGACTTGCCCTTATGGGGTCTCCTCCAAAATAAGAGTCTCTACAAGCCTTTCCTTCTGTAGGACTTTAGTCAAACCGCTGTTTGACAACGACTCCAACCGGAAACATCAGCACCAATCTGAACACGTCTGCCTGGGTTTTTACCTCGTCGTCTTCGTCCAGCTTCATCATCCAGCCTTTCTTAAAGTTCAGCAGGTCTGGCTGTGAAAATGAAAAACTGATTTTAAAGGTATCAGAAAAAACTCGTTCATTACATTTTTTACCCAAAATCATTCTCGGACACAGAGTTTTCACCTAAATGAACTAAAATCTGTTTCCTTTGATAAAAGCAGAAATCAGAACTGATCACAAATCTGGAGCTGCTCAAAACGTCGCTGCTGAAAAATGACTGAAAACAGGAAACATATTACAGCAACAGGTCCGATAATTATATAACAAACAGTAAAATGCTGCTTAATGGGGCTGGAACGTTTCAACAAGTTTTTAAACCGTTCATCTGTCTTCACATAAACCAAAACAGAAGCTGAATAATTAAACTTTAATTTTAACTCGGCTGGAATAAACCCAAAGCAGAAATACATTAACGTGTTTTCATTAAATATTAGTTTATTAATGATAAGTCACTGTGTCGTTTCCCCTTTAGCTCCGTCCTGCTGATCGTCTCGACATCGTCCAACAGGAGCGTCACGGTTTGGTTGGTAAACCCTGAATGTTGATTCTCTAAGAACAACGACCTGACCAGGCCGACCGTTTCACACTACCGCCGCTAAACGAAGAACGACCAAAACACCGACGGCAAAACCTCCTCAGAGTTTCTGGTTGTTTTTCTGTTTGACAAATGTAAACATTATTTTCTCATTCCGTCAACAGCTAAAAACAAAAACAAAGTTTGGAAATTAGCATTTATATCATTTATCCTCCTGCGATGTTGAGACTGTTGTGCAGCACTTTGGTTGTGGTAAATGTGATATGTAAATAAACTTTGACTTGATTTCTCAACAAAAACAAGAATGAAACCATAAAGAGGCAAAACAAATGAACAAGTAACCAAACACAAGAGGGAAGTTAGTTTTTAAGAGAAATTTAAAGGCTATACGACATTTTTAATAAATTGTGATTAAGGTGAGATGATGGAGAAGAGAACTGGCCTGCAGAGGAAGGAGGAAATGAAGACGTGATGATTAAAGTTTCAGTTTCTGGAGGTTAGAACGATGAATTCATCCCGAACAGCCGCTACAGTCACAGCTAACGTTTCTCCCTCAGAGACACAAACTGTTTTCATGAGCTCTGCTGACCGTCATGGCCGCCGTGGCGCTGTCCGGCGTGCGGCGGTCCAGAGACCGGGTTCTCCTCTGAGGCGCGGGAACGCTGAGCAGGCTCCCGTCTCCCGTCGACCGCAGTTTCTGCACGAAGAGGAAAAAGATTCAGAGATGAAATCACACGTTCCTGTCAAAAACAGAATGTAATCGAGATGAAGACGTTGTTACAGGAGCCGGGTCGTTTTCAGGAGCATTTTGGTAAAAAACCAAAAGAAAAAATGGAGGAAGCAGATTATCACCAAAGAGAACCGAAAGAGATCAGTTTGTTTCAGTTCCCAAGAAATTTATAGAAACTTCAGATAAGTCAAAAACAGTTAATTGAATTAATTACAGAATCTTGAATTAATTGAAATTATTTGCATTTTAATGAAGTTTATTTGTAAAGCACATTTCAGGAGGAGGAACAAGGCAGTTGCAAGTGCTTTACATCACAAATTAATAGAAAAATCGTGACAAAGTCGGGTTTTGAACTCAAAACGTTGCCTTTTTACTGAACAAACAAACATATGAGCTGAAAACAAAGATATTTATAGCTTTCATTAATCTGATATGAGCTGATGTGTTTGTTTGAAACACATCAGCTCATATCAGATTAATTAATCTGATCTTCATCCATCAGATTAGAGCAAAGAGTTTCAGGAAGTCCTGATCATTCATGGAGCTTCTTCAGAAATCTGGCCTGTGGACGCTAACATTAGCAATAGCGGCTACATGTTAGCATTGAGATGCTATTTTAACTTCACTGATAGGCTAACTGCTTTTAGCTCAACATGAACACAACAGCAGTCTTTTCCAAACGTCCAATCAGATCGTTAAGAAGCAGAAATTAACCCCTAATGGACCAGAGAGAAGCGGCTTCATCCTCCATCACTTTTAGCAGATGTAGCTTAGTATGTGCGTCAGATTTAAGGTCGTACCAGAAACATGATAGAAAGGTTCCAGCCAGAACTTTAGTAAAAAGAAAAAAGCAATTAATTTAAACTGATGAACTAAATGAAAGCTTATCTAAAGTATGCTGCAGTAATAATAATAAAAGTTATCAAAACATCATTACTGATGTCAAGATGGCGGCGGCGTGTGAGTCACCAGCAGCAGGACTCTTTAAACTGCAGGTCACATCACCAGTGAATCACACAGATTATCTGTGAAAAGCATGAAAAGCCTCAGAAAAAATTATCAATAGACCCAGAAGAGTTTCCTGGAGGATTGCTCTGATCGCGTTTCACGCCGGCTCTGTTTCAGGATTACCCAGCATTCATGAAAAAGGGTTGAGTTTTTGTTTACTGCAGCCTCAAAAGAATCTCTCCATTTATACAACTGCAGAAAAACGGCCAGTTTAATCAGCACAGAGCCGCCTTTGTCCTTTCTTCTGGCAGTCATGCTGAAAACTATCCAGAACTTTCGTTCTGATGGAGTGAGTCAGCATCTTTACTGGAAGATTACCAGTTCCTCAGACGACTCCAGTTCAGCTACTACTGGGATGAGTTGCTGGTCAAAATTAAAAATTTAAGTTTTAATTTAAAATGTCCTTTAAATTATCCTGTTTTTCATAACTGCTTATGAAGAACAAACAAAATCAAGAAAACTGCTTTCCTAAGCCAAACCCTCTGAGCAACCTGTTCCCCTCCTGGCCTGTGGGGGCGCTGCACCAAGAACCACTGAAGGAAACAACTAAAAACCTCTGAAGACACTGAGAGCAACTTCCTTCTTCGCCAGATGGAAACAAGATGGAGGCGTCAGATTTTAGTGTTGGAGGATTTCTCTTTAGGCTAAAGACCAGGAGCCATTTCTGCTACTAGCGCTAGGCTAACACGTTAGCTTTGGTTGTATTTAACCAGAATGCCCTGCGCTGTAGTCCACCTCCTGCTTTTGGAGCCTTCTCCGGTCCGCTTGGCGTTCACATTCAAACTGAACCAGAGTTCACTTCAACCAAACTCAGACGAGGTTTGGAGGACCAGAGGTCAGAGATCGATTAGCATTAACACCAACTGACTGGAGTCGGATTAAAGCAGACTGGAGTCGGATTAAAGCGGACTGGAGTCGGATTAAAGCGGACTGGAGTCGGATTAAAGCGGACTGGAGTCGGGTTAAAGCGGACTGGAGTCGGATTAAAGCGGACTGGAGTCGGATTAAAGCNGACTGGAGTCGGGTTCTGGNTGGAATGGACCCTAAAACTCCCCGAAAAACAGAATTCATGGATTACTAGTTTTAAGTTTGGCTAATCAAGTGAAAAACAAATGTAAAAAATGCTTCACTTATATTGATTTTATGGTAAATTACATTGCAGCAATATTTTAACCATTTCTTAATATCCCCACCTTAGTCTTCTAAATGTTTTCTGTGTATAATTATCCTTCTGGTATAAAATGTAAATTTATTTAGCATCTTTTTAACAAAAAGATGCTAAAGGCCTCTTTGTTTTACCAGCTGATGTTGGTCGTCATCTCTGGGCTGTTTAAGGTTCATGTCTGTGTTCAGTAGAAACTCCTGTTACTCATGTCTGTAACGAGCGGCCCGAGCCCAGCAGCTCTGATTCAGAACCAGATGTGCCGCTGCAGCAGGCTGTCAGTTTGTCTGTAAACACAGCAGCTCTGAGGGGCGACTCCTCTGCTGTGTTTCTGTCCAAACAGCCCGCTCAGTTCGGAGCGGCGCTGACTGGTTCCTGGCGTCTGTCCCGCCTGCTGACACATCGCATGCCTCGACACGCCGTTCAACGCAAACTCACGTCACCTGCTTTACGAGCGCGTGAATCAGGCTGCTGCCCGGTCGGACCGGAGCGGAACTGCTCCGCTAACAGACGCAGCTCATCCGTAACATCTGGACCCGCTGGAACCACGACACACCAAAAACAAGAACCAGTCAGGAACTGGGACCTAGTCCAGAAAAACGAACCCCTTAAAAAGTAACATACTTCACTGATTACTTTTAAATGTAACTAAGTTGGATTATAAGTTACTTTATTAGTTACATTCCGCAGCCATGTTTAAAGTTAACTTCTTTAACTCTTTCTCTGGTTTTACACTGAAGTCAGTTTTCTCTCCCTGGTGGTGGAAACAACCTTTCAGCTTGTCAAAGCTCCTCTTCGGCCTCTAACGAGCCGTCATTTGATCCAGGTGCGTTAAACCAGGGAGAGAACTAAAACATGCAGGACGCCGGCCTTCAGGACCGACTGGACACCCCTACAGGTTTATAATGAATATTAATTTATATTAGTTCACATAAGAAATGTAAACACAGGCAGACATTTGTTTGAAAGTTAATATTTTTAATGTTTGTGCCGTTTTATTTAATAAATTGTGATCTCTGCATCAGCTGGTGACCAATCTGGGATCAACTGGTCGAGCCTGGATTCGCCACTAGGGGGCTTTAACCTCCAGACAGGTTCAAAGATCACTCTGGTTTTTCTGTCTTTCCAGGTGAAGCAGCAGCACAGAGGAAACAACCAACCTCGATATCTTCATCTTTAGCAGCACAAACTCTAAATAAAGATGAATTTCCAGATAGAAAACCTGAATTTCTCTCATCCCACCAGGGTTTCCCGTGTAAAACCAGGAAAGCAACATAAGCAATATAATTAACTTTAATCTGATTACTGGATTGGTAATAATAGTGCATTAGATTACCAATTACTGAGTCACAGACATCACCAGTGTGAAAAACTTTATCAAGTTAAAACAACAAAACGTTTCCAGTCTTGACAGGAAGTTTTATCACCTGTTTTAATGATGTCAGACCTTCAGCCAATCAGAGCAGGAATGAACAAGCCTGATGCTAAGAGAATTAATAGCTGCTGATGTAACTCGTCTCGTTTGTTTCTCTTTCTCTCGTCCGGATGCTAAATAAACTAACCAGCTGCAGCGTCCGTCCTGTCATGCATCTCCAGGTCATTAAGACAAAGTAAAGGCTTCCCACTCGGCAGACCGGTCCGGCAACAATTACAGAAACACGAGCCGTGTTTGAGATCCGCAGCAACCGGCAGACTCCAGCAACTCGCCCCTATGGCAGCAGGGAGGAGGAGCGGCTAACGCTAGCAGCTTTACAGCAAGGAGCACAGCTAGGCACGGAACCAGAAACTCTGGGAAACTATAACATTTAAGAGTTTCCATCCATCAGTTAAATGTTTGTAAACCAGCATCAGATTATTAACCAGCAGCTCCTCTGATGAGGTCCAGGATGGGTTCAGAGTTTACCTCTCGCCTGGCGGCCCGGTCGGGCCCGGCGCCAGCCCCGCAGTCGGCTCCTCCGCCTCTCTGCGCTCCGCTGCGGGGCTCCGGCCCCAGCTGCTGCTCTGCTGAGCGCCCCAGGCTGGAACCAACAGTAAAAAGTAGGTTAGGCTGCCGTCACATGGAGCCGCTGAGAAACGATCGATGCTAGCCGTGCTAGCTGTTCCCCCTCCTGACTCTCCACCAGGGGGCGTGTCTGAGACAAAAAGCAGACATCAACCAACCTGGAACCAATAAGAACATTCACCTGCAGTACTGCTGGTCAACCCAAAGAGGGCAGCACTGAGACAGTTTTAGGCCAAATGTTTCAAAATTAAACAAATTTACTCAAAAATGTCACAATTATCACAGAAACATGAAGATAGAGCCTTTAAGGTTGAATGTAGACAGTTTATGTGATAAATAAAGTTGATTTGGGGTTTAGTTTTAAGACAACTATTAGAGGAGAAATGATATCTGTGTCTAATGAACAGAGATGAAAGCAGTGTGACCTTTGACCTGCGGACAGAGGTCAGCTTGTTTCTGGTGTTTTGGGTCTTTCTGCTGGTGTTTAGGTGAAGATGTCCAAGCTCTGCTCCGCTCTGACAGTTGAGGTCATGAGAAACAGATTTAATTACAGCAGCGCTCAGGAATCTCTGGCCTTATTTAACGGTCGGAGGGGAATCTGAGTTTTACTGGGTTGGTTTCCCAAAAAGGCAACAAGAACGAGGAGCTCACGCTGCTGGGGGGAACGGGGGGATTGGGAGGACCGGGAAGGGATCTGTGGGCTAAGTATAGAAACGCAGCAGTTAGAGCCGTAATGGAGGGTCGGCTCTTTGATCCAAGCTAAACGTTTGCACATTTTACTTCCTTCTCTCTGTAGAGGCTCTTTAAATGTCCAACAGGGATGAGACCAGTCTGGAAGATAGAACCAGTAACTAGAGAATAAAAACCAGTAACTAGAGGATAAAAACCAGTAAGTAGAGGATAAAAACCAGTAACTAGAGAATAAAAACCAGTAACCGGGTTGTGGAAACTGGTCGGATGTCTAACCTTCTGCTCTGGATCTGGTTCTGGTCGCAACAGCCGGCGGCTGATAACTCCGGGGAGCTGACCGAGCCAGCCAGGCGTCCAGCGCGGCCTGAGGTCACAGGGGTCACAGGGGTCACAGAGGTCACTGAGGTAGTGGGGCCCGGCTGGGTCGGCACGCTGTTGCCTGGAAACCAAATCCAGATTATCGTAAAATGAAACATTCGGTCTGAAACCTGAGATCCAGTTCCTCTAATTCATACACTGCAAAAACACAAAATCTTCCCAAATAACTTTGGTTCAGTTTATAGAGAAAATATCTCAGTTCACTGTAAAAAAAGAGGAAATTAACTTAACTTTCCATCAATAGATTTTTTATAGTTTTTATGTCAATAATTCCTTAACATTGATGAACAGGTTCCAGTTGACCTTTCACCTGCAGAATAAAATGCTCGTCCCGCCCAGCTCTGGAAAATAATCCCAAGCAGTGCCAAAATGAGCGTTGCCATGGCAACAACGCCACAACCGATGTTGAATGCTGCTGATTAATTGCTGTTTAAAGGAGGATCAGAGGCCAACATGGTGGCCAATGACAGTGACACCATCACTGAGCACAGGAAGGACACGGGTCCAGTTGGGAGTAAACAGAACCAGAACCTTAAACTGGTCCTGACAGAAACTGGAAGGAACGCTGAAGGAAACAAACCCAGTGAAGGACTCACTGGGTTCACTGGTCCATCGTTAAATCAGTTAAAAGCCTCATAAATCCAGGAAACACGGAGGACTTCTGATCCGCTGCTGATCCGCCACATGGTCACGATTTATTGGTAAGAAATCTATTTATTATCTATTTATTTCTAAATGAACTGGATCAGTTTGACTGTAAACGAGCATCTGCTGTGAATTTACACAATTTTAATAAACCAAATTCAAACTAAAAATATCAATTTAATATTTTAATATAAAAACTATTATTAAATATTAATTCTTTAATATTTATTAAGTAAATATAATTATTTAATAAATATATTACATTTTATTACCAAATAAAATGTAATAATACATTGTATTTTCAAATAAAATATAATACATTTTGTTTAATATTAAAATTAATCATATTAATTATTATATTAATTATTATTATTATTATCATCATCAATATTACTAATCAATCATATTATTTGTCTCGATGGCCTGATAGTTTATAATTTTACTCTTTTATACTTATATAGAAAGTATAACTGCACCTCAGAGGTCATGTGAAGGTCAAACTGCTGGTTTGGTTCATGTTGTTTTCAGAACCAGAACTTAAATAAAAACGGATAAAAACGTTCAAACCAAAATGAGCTGCTGGATTTCTGCACTTTTTCCAGGAAAAAGAAACAAGAAAAGAGATTTTCACAAGAACTGCTGTGACCAAAACAAACGCATTAATAACCAGAATGCTTTTAGATTTTCCATCTCCACTGTTTATGGAAATAAAAGCCAAACATTCCCGCTGGATTCCGGTTTTCCTCTAGTTGGTTAAACCGACTCTGAGATCCTCTGAAAAACCATGCAAAAAGTTACTTCTGTCACTAAAACCAACAAACCAATCGATCTGAAACCAATTCATGAAGCTGCTGAAAGCAGCAGAAAACACTGAAAATTATGACTCAGGTGTAAAATCTAAACTCTGCAGGTCACACCAACAGTAAACGGTAACCATGGTAACCGTGATAATCACCGATGAAGATAAAGGCCGACTCCAAATCATTTTATCTTTGTTTCAAAAGAGTAAAAACCGTTTTTCCAGCAACTCTGCTCTCACACACAGTGTGACGTCACCTCTGCTGTGAATATGAATACCGAGGAATAGAGAGGAAACACTCTGGATGTGGGAAATAAAAACTCGGAAAGAGAAATCGGATTCGACTAAAATCAACATAAAGAGCAGAAATGAGCCACAAAATTCTGATCAGTTTCATTTATATTCTTCGCATCACGATGAAACGTTAAGAAGCAGCAGAAAAGGTCGTATTTTAGTTGTTAAATAAGAATCACCTGGTTCTTCTGATACATTTTATATTAAAGTTTATTTCTATTATCTGTTTTATTTCATCATTTAGTAATTCCTTTGAAATGTACCTGGAGTTTCTTCTGTTTACTTTGCAGCTCTGCAAATTTTCATTTTCATTTTGTTGAAACAAAAATAACTTGTTTCATATACGCAGAGACTCGATGCCTGCAGGATGCAGAATCTCACAAAACCAGAAGAAAACCAGCTGCAGCGAGGTTTGGACACGGAGATTTATCTTTCATTCGTCTGATTTGACTCTCATAAAACTTTCACTCTTTGTGCTGCATGTAGAAACATGAGGGAACTTCTGATCTCTAACTCAAAATGATAATTAAAAGAAATATAATAAAAATTAACAAAATATTTCACAAACTCCAGAGATTTCCTTAAAGAACGTTAGCGAGTGGCTAACAGATAGATAAGGACCTGATCCGTCTTTACCTCCACCTGGAGGCGGGTCGGTTCTGGTTACGGTCCGGACCAGAGGCACATCTGGGCCTGCAGGGCCGGCCGCCGATGCAGGACTGCTCCGACCGGCAGCGGCCATGTTTGCTGGGCTGGGGTCCTTTTCGTTGTCATGGAAACACAAAGCAAAACGTTACAAACACTAAAACTTCAGAAATTATTAGAGTTATTATTTCATAAGGAAGGAAAAAATGATGGAAGGAGTGAAGGAATAAATGGACTGACAGGCTGACGGACTGACGGGCTGACGGACTGACGGACTGACGGACTGACGGGCTGACGGACTGACGGGCTGACGGACTGACAGGCTGACGGGCTGATGGACTGACGGGCTGATGAATTGATGGACTGATGGACTGACAGGCTGATGAACTGATGGACTGATGGGCTGATGAACTGATGGGCTGATGAACTGATGGGCTGATGAACTGATGGGCTGATGAACTGATGGGCTGATGAAC